CACGGCCGTTTACAAAAATGGTGGAAACGGTTAGTTTCCTGTGAAACGGCGACGTCAGTGGAATATGAGCTGTCTTTCTAATCCATTGTTAATGTCATCATCGTTTCAATTGCACCTCCACATTTGTACATAATCTCGTGACTATAATTTCTTTAATAAATGTATTTTCAAAAGATTGTTATATTATTAGTAGTAGTTATTTCCACGTATATGACCGGGGAAAAAGCCTGTCCTCGTCAACGTTCACTCTATGGGCGCTTGTCTATTTAAGTATTGCGGCTGCCGCCGATCGGTTTACGCAGAATAATTAGTAGGTCATTTTAGTCCTATAACAGCCATCTCATGGTTGACTTCCAGATAAATGGGACACACGAAAAGTCCTTCTCAGTTAAGCTTCCTCGTCTGTTTAGAAATTAATTGCTGTGCTCGATACAGATAAAACGAAATTTCTTATAATAACTTGGGCCGAAATCCCCCAGCAAATACGGAATAACGTGCGACAGGTAAACATGTTAATAACGTGCAGGCAAAAATGTAAATATATTTTGTATAAGATAACAGCCCAGACACGCGGTATATAAACAAAAATGAAGGCTGGGAAACCTGGCGAACATACTTTGTGTGCCGCACTCCTAAACAAAACATTAACATAAATTTGAATATCAACAAAATCGATAAAAGCAAAGTCAAATTTACGCTTAAGTGAACATTCATATTGTCAACTTAACTGGGGAAAGGGTGGAAATTTGGAGGATAATTATAGAATCAATATACTTAAATCTCCGAAACATAATTCTTGGATTATATTCACACACGGACAATGGGACTTAGTTGTTGTTCTGACAATTCACACGTAGAAATGCCATATTTGTTGCCAGTCAGCAAAGGAACAAAGTATTTTGTTTTAATGTACTTCTAGATTCTTAAATTACATGACGTAAAACAACTGTCCGAACTAAGCATATTTTTGCCCGATGAACGTAGAGTCCTATGTCGCCAAACTCGCCTTGCTCGCACGCGTACCTTTTTTAAATATCGGCGCACTTGAAACACGACCTGCAATCGATCGATACTCACTGGCTATTCAAACGCAGTACGACAGGCAGGCACGTAAGATGCAACGTCTGGTCGACCTAGCTGTTCAACTGCTCCTGATTGAGGGAATCCTCATTTTTGTTCGTGATTTTACATCCAATCCTATGCTGAATGATTTCCTGCGTTTGACGGTTTGCCTTCTAAATGGTAAGTGCCGAAATTTGCTTAATTTATACGATTATTGCAATATGCACACTCACAAGGTACTTTAATTTAAAGAATAAATGTAATATACTTTTTTTACTGTGTTTCACATGCCTGCTAATGAAAGATTAGATATTACCGAAACACGCTTTCTCTGTTTCAGGATGTGTTTTCAACGCCGTTTTCAAATCTAATCTGATGATTTATTCTATGTTCAAAAGCAACCATCACTTGATGTGTTGGAAGCGGTACAATCTACGATTTATCGAACTTTCGACATCACTATTTTTTCAACAATCCCTCGAACTTGATTCCAGAGGGTGAGTTTATCATATATAAGTCCCTGTGGCTACCTTGTTTGTTATATTCTTGCTGATCACTAGCCAACTCTAAGACGAGTAATGAAAGTCTTCGAATATCCTGTTTGTAGATATGCATATATTCCCATTAAAAACCACCCGCTTTTGAATTCCAATACCACGGGGGCATGTGATGGCGAACCTGAAATCGAAACCAAAGATTCTGGGTCTCTGGACGTAACAGCAAAAGCGGACTCACCTGAGAAACTTGAATTGGTGGAATCGAGAAGTAGTAAGTGAATCAGTTATTTGCTATTGGTAGTACAAATGCGCAGTGCACTTCATAATCCCCGGTGTT